TCTCCCTGCCAAGATCCTGGACCACAGATGTGAGTGGGGTGTTTGCTCACTGATCTGAGTGAGCGCAGGATCCGGCCTGCAGTCCAGGGTTGTGCACAGAGCAGGCTCGATGAAAACGTTTTGTTTATTGTCCTTAATTCCTGTCTCGGGGGGTTGGGACAGGAGAGGACAGGCTCCAAAAGGAAAACCTGCACTTATTTCTCCCCATGTGAAATGTATCCATTGGATGCACTGGGCAGCTTTTGGGAAAACTCCTAACTCAGAAAGCTTTCTGCCATTCCCACTGCTGCCCAGAAAAGAATTCTAGTTTTTCAATCGTGCCTAATAAATGCTGCACGTTTTACTTATCAGAGCCGAGTTCCCTGTTCCACTGAGGTTGCCTGCCGCTCTCCCATTTACCAGAAACAGGGAGAGCACACACGCTAGGCAGCTGATGGGACTGCAATGCCATTACAGAGAGACAATATTACTCATTGTGGATATAGTTACTTCTGCTTTTGAAAGAACACACTTCTCTGGGCGATCATAATGCACTGGTTCTTTCCAACATGCAATTAGCACGAGAGAAACAGTCTAATGTTTTCTAAAACATTGGGCAGTATTTTGCTGATGGGAAGCACTTGCACTGTTAGGAGCTTTGGCTCTGGATGCAGCACAGTGGGTGCAGTTTCCTGTTAACGGGAGTATCTAAGCAATGCTGCTGCATTTTCAGCGGTCAGTTTCCTTTATGCTCCACCCATGTAAGGGATCTACGCTTTGTCCAGTTGGAGTAGTATGCTCAGCTTCTGCGTGAGTCTGTCCAAGTACACATTGCAGAAGAAATTAAACATTTTCATTTTAGTAGAACAATTGAGCCAGGGATTTTTATTTTCAAAAATGCTCTCCTTTAGATAAAATGGGAGCAAGAGGGTAACTATTTTATGTAGCTGCAGCAAAGCCTGAAACTTTCTAAGGCACTTTTTTTCATCTGTTGCCTACTAGAGATGTACAGGTTGAACCTTTCCTGTCCAGTACCCTTGGAACCAGACCAGTTCTGAACGAGAGTTTTCTGGACCATGGGAGGTCAGTGTTTTCTAGCAGCATTACCTATACATCCACTGCTTCCTGTGCTTTTAAAGGACATGTAGGGGCAAATGAGACCTAACTAACACACAGAACACCGTAAACAAACTTTATGGGACTGCGAAAAACTTGCCCACATCCATGAAAAGTGGACATCCAGCTAAGTAAAATCATTCTGGATGATGGCTGTTTCTGGATAAGAGCGATCTGGACGAGAGAGGTTCAACCTGTAATGAAATCCCAGGTGTTTTCATTTCCCCCTTGAATGCAGATTCTCTTAATGGTTCCTCTGTTGTGCTCTCTCCACACTTCAGCTATTTAACTCAGCTGTCTCGGGCAAATTTCAGTTTGAAGAATGTACATTTTGCCTGTCTGAATCCCCCATCATTTTCCTCAGGATATACTGTGCCTTTCGGGTCTCACTAAGTTTTCCTTTGTTTTCTTTTAAAGTAGAAACTACAGTATCAGACTTATAACTTCTTTTTTTTTGCGGGGGTGTGAGTGGCGGTATAGAAATACCTTTTAAAGCTAAAAGGAAACAATAGGCCTAATTCACCCTGGCAATTACTCCGAGACTTCCACAGACTTAAGTCGGGGTAAATTTGGCCCAATGACCGCACAACTTTTTCTGATTCTAGCACCGATGTCAAAGGGACATGAATGGACGTTTTCAGCAGCAGTTGAGTTCAATGGTAACTGGAGATGGTGCGTTCTGGGGTACAGGGAATGGAGGTGGAAGCTAGTTCCTCTGCTACTGGCTGGTGCATGACCATGGGTGAGTCTCTTCACCTCTCTGTGATTTTGCTTCCCCTTCTGCCCCTTGTTTTCTTGACCATAAGGTCTCTTGGACAGGAAGTGTATTTCTCAGTGTTTGTACTGTGCCTAGCACAATAGGGCCCAGATCTCCCCCGGGAGCTCTAGGTGTCAGTGGCAGGGAGCGGAATACGACAGAATAGGTGCTTCTGTCAGAGGAACAGTAAATAATGTTACTGGGTCTGTTTAAGCTGACCATGGGTTCTGTTGTGTGGTGTTAGCCGTACCTGGCAGGGCTCATGAATACTGGACTTGTACTGACCTTCGCAGCCTGTACCAGCTGTACTGTGCACCTGTTCCATGCCACGTACTCCTCAGCTCCGGACTGAATCAAAGCCTGTAGTTTGGCTGCTGCCGTGCTGAGGAGCCTGGGGAGAAAGTTGTGTCTTGAGTACATGTCTGTAAACACACACTGTGCACACGACTGTACGTACCCACCGAGCCAAAGGCATTCTGAAGGGACTGGAAACGAATTTCATTCCACCTATTCTGAAAGCAGAGTGCTTTGGTCAGGGAAACTGAAACCATCTAACCACAAGTCAAAGAGGAGCACTCGGCAACTCCTCCACTACAGGACCTCCACCCATAGCAGCTCCCGTCTCTGTGTAGCTGGGACCCATGTGACGTTTCCTTAGCTTTGGAAGGAGGTAAGAGAGTGCGATGGATTTAAGGAACTGAAGTGACAGACTATTCAGTACATGAGGCCAGATACAGTTCTAAGACACTGTAGCAGGGCTACTCAAAACACAGCCCGCAGCCTGTTTGTTTGCAGCCTGTGGTGCAGTTTGGATTTACATGGGGCTCAACACGCGGCCCAACACGCGGCCCGCAGGTGGGAGCCAAAACAAAAGTAGTCAATAGAATGGTCTTCAGTTGATATGCGTTTTAGTAGTTAAATTCCTGGACTGTCATTGCTCATTAAAAGTGCCATCGTAGGGGTGGAAATCAGATAAAAATTGCTTTTTATTAATATCAGCAGAACTGACTTAAATGGGGCCTGTGTGTTGTGTAGTCCTGCCTTAATCTTTGTATTCATGCCTGTCAGTGTGAAAGAAGCTATTTGCATATATTTGCATGTTCATGGAATTACACTTAAGTTGCAGCCCTCAGCATGTGTTGTAAGTATCATTGTGGTTCCTGGGGTTTCCAAATTTGAGTCGCCCTGTACTACAGTACAGATCTATGTATGTGGCTTGCTAGGTTTTCCTGGGTTCCAGAGACGGGGATGTCTCCATCTGTAAGTGTGAGGACGTGTATCGTTAGTGCTGCTCTGCTGTAGTACTCAGTGGCTAGAAGCAGAGTTGGAGCTGCATTGCGTTGGGGCTGTACGGACAATTTGAAGAAGGAATTAAGTTTCTAGCATCTGATGCTTTATCTGCATTTAGAAGTTTAATATTAGCAGGGTCCGGAGCACTAAAAACTGATTCACTTGCATGGGCACCATGAGGCAGACACACTGTCTCCTTTAAGCTCAGAAGCCGATTTTGGTGGCTTCCGTATTTGTGAGGAAGGATTTGGATTCCAGGGTTACCTGAATGTTAAACTGAAGACGTTTTTCCTTCAGTCCCTCTTTACTGACCTGCTTGCTCTGCGCCGATAGGCCTCCGCGTAAATGTCTGGTTTAAGCAAGTCTGCCTCAGTCCTGACCCAACACTTTCTGGAGTTCGTTAAAGACAAATAGGCCACAGACGGCGGGGTGGGCTGGCCGGCGTGAACTGCTGCAAGGCACTTTACCAGATACCTGGCAACAAGATAACACAATGGGCTCTTAGCATGGTATGGTTCCAGAATGGCAACAGGCCTGAAAGTGACCTCCGCTGAGGAGACGTGAGGGTTCTTCAGCAGAAGCCAAACGCAAACCCGGGAAAGGTATCTGAATGCGTATCGGGTCACGGTGAGAAACCTGCTGGGTTACTGTCAAAATGTAGGACCCTTTCTCCTCTGGTATGAGGTGAGGGGAATAGAGGAACCTCCTACCCATCACAAGCTCCCGTCTCCTCTTGTGTGCCCCCCTTGGCTGTGTCCCATTTGACATCCGCCTAGCCAAGCAGGGCTGGACAGGTCCTACGCCAGGTATTAAGCCATGACTCCCTTCGGCTGCTTCGTAACCTAAGCTGCTTCTCCCCTCCTTTACGGGAGACCAGCGCCCGGCCTCGGTGCACACAGCTCAGGGGGAGAGCCTGGCTTCACTGGTAGACTTCAAACTCAGGCTGAGGGCTTAGTTTCCACATTAGGACATTTAGCCTTAAAGTATCTGTCCTTGGCGCATGCAATGGGCTGCCCTGGACCAGTTCTGTGTAAGCTATTGTAAGGTGTCACGCGCCTCTGCCTGGGGGGAGGGACAAGCTACTGTAAGGCGTCACGCGCCTCTGCCTGGGGGGAGGGAGGAGCAGTGAGTTACTGCGTCCCACCAAAAGTCGGAAGCATTGTGTTTTCTGTGTGGTGTGTTTAGTAATCTCGTGATGGCCCTGGCTTTCTGTAGCACATGGGCAGCAGCAGGGTGAGCTTCCCCACGGTGAGCTCAGCCCCAATTTGGATGGACCCTCGCCCGGAGTACCTGGCATAGACAGAGATCATCTGAGTGCATCCTGTCTGTGACGGTGCTGCCCACAAACGCCGTGGGTGGGAAGTGGCGGGTGGATCTCTCTCAGGGCGAGAGCTAGATCTTCCCGCTTAGTTAAAGCCTCAGAGGGGTTGCCATGTTAGTTTGTAACTTTAAAAACAAGGAGTAGTCCTGTGGCTCCTTAGAGTATCGCGAGCTTCCGTGGGCAAGAACCACTTCCGCAGATGAGCTGGAGAGGAATAACGGAACTCCTGCTATTTCCCTCCAACCCGTTTAGGGAAGGGCGTGTTTTATTACCCCAGTTAGGGGTTAGCACTGCATCTTTACTGTGTTTTATCCACTGCAGGTAATGAATGCGCTATGTATCCAAGGGAAAGCAACATCTTTGGAATTTAACCATTATTTAAAATGACCCTAAAAGGCAACATCTTCCAATGGAAACTCTTCCCCGAAGTCTTATCGTGGGGCAGGAGTATGTTAATTTCACCTCCCCATGACAGGATCTTGAGCTAAGCACCTGTCCAATCTGTTTACAAACCCCCATCCTGGAATCTGAAGCTACTAGGGACTGGCACAGCGAGAAGGGGACGGCTGGGTAGGCTCTGACTTCAGTTGGGTGGGCAGTGACGGGGAGTGGGAAGGGGCCAGGAGGGGGGGGATGGGAGGAGGTGCCTGGAGCAGGTTGGGATGCTTGCACTGCTGCTGCGGGGCATGGGGCTGGGGTGCCTGAGCACAGCAGGAAGAGCCTAGAGTGTGTGCAGGTGTGATTATTTCTATGGCATAATGAGCCCGGGAGGGGTGCCATGGGGCTGTCTCTCTAGAACTCTGATCCGGAGGGCCCCCCCTCACGCACGAAGGATGACACGGTGGGAGTGTGTGTGGACCACGTGGGGGTTCTGCAGTCTCTCCGCTGGCTGTTTAACAAGCTCCTTCCACCTCTTGCCACCAAGCAGTACAGGGGGCCCCAGGGGTAGGGGCGGGGCGGCCTTGCTGGGAGAGCTGCGCGGGCTTCCCCACTCCGCCTGCCCCCTGCTTCTGGCGGGGAACGAGGTTGGGGTGCCAGGGCCCGCCCCATGTGTGGCTGGGAGCAGAGCCAGGACTGCGGGTGGGTGGGCCTGCCAATAGTTACTCCACTGGCCGGACGGTGACGTGTCACCCTTCTTCCCTGCCTGTGGGGGTGAGAGCCCAGCAGCCTGTGAGAGCTACTGCTGTCGGGCCTGCTCTGGAGAGGGCGCGGCAGGGCGAGAGAGGACGAGGAGGCAGGCGCAGACACAAACAGGGCCGTGTAGTTACCTGGCCGTCTGCAGGAACAGAACAGTGTTGTCCCCTTCATAAGTGCAAGACGCAGCTACTTTAGTATACAGAAAAGGGAGTCCGCTCAGTGCAGAGTAGCCGTGCCCTCCGCAGGCTCTGAGGCAGACCTCCGCTCCTGCCGTGCAGTAGTCTGTGATGATGGCTTTAAGGCCTGAGGTGAGTGCGTGAAGCTGCACAAAGCAGAGAAGGCGTTAACTGAGAAGGGGTTGCATAGTGTTTCTGTGATAAGGGCATTCGAAGTTGGCAAAAAGCTGAATTATAATCTCCGGTGCGTCTGACCGTGTAGCTCCTCCAGTGGCGGGGACATGCAAACTCGGGCCCGGTTTCTGTCCAGCTCACACCATGTGCACTTTTTACAAACGGTGCTGCCACGTGATTCATAGGCTGACTACGTGGCCCTACCGTGCGTGGCCTCACAGCAGTCTGATGCTGTGGGCAGGAACCAAAAGGTAGCTAGTTTGAATTAACTCTGCCCTGCAAGCTTGGTACATTTAGTTCATGCTGCAGCATGCGCCTGGAGGCGTCACAGGCTCTGGCTCCCTCATTTCTCTAAGGTGCTCAATCCCCAAACCCTGCTCCAATGCCACCTTGCCCACCTCCCTGTGCCCCCGCCCTGCCACTCTCTGCCCCACTGCACCCTGTCTCCTGAGCACCCACCCCTCCCCCAGTGCCTCCCACACCCTGCTGAGCAGCTGCTGCGGTAGGTAGGAGGCGCTGTCAGGAGCTGATGGTGGCTGCCGGTGGATACTGAACCCGTTTTTTTTCCTGAGGTGCTCCACGGATGGGCCAAACAGCAGGGCCATAAAGAAAAGCACATTCCCAGAAGGGACGAGTGTGATCGTCTAGTCTGGCCTCAAATAGATTCCACCACCTGTGTGCAGAAGGCACCTTCATCCTAAGCCCAATGTACAGGCGCTCCAGGTTACACACTGGGTCTCAGCCCAGAAGGGAACATTATCTGGAGCATGGAAAGTCACAAGTGAATCTTTCGAGCCAGTCTGAGCTAACAGCTCATTGAAGCGATGTTTCTTCAAGCTCACACACCCTCCACATGCTGTCTTTTGCATGCACGTAGCTGAATTTCCCGATCTGAGCTGTACCCTCACTGTGGGTCTCAGGCAAACAGCCCAGAACTTCTGTTCCCAATCTACCTACTGGGGTACTTTGTACGTTAATTATGAGATCTGGGGATCTCTGTGCAAACAGTCATGATTTTTCATTACTTTTGCTGCAAATTACCTCGGGTAGTGAATCAAAGTTCCCCTCTCTGATCTCTGTGTACCCTTTGCTGTAGAACTTGTTCACGTAGGCATTCATGAAATGCAAGGCATAGGCTGTTGCTAGCAGAGGTAGTAGCTTCTGTTGCTGAGTCTGGTAGTCTAGGATTTTTGCCTCTGCCTCCCTGGAGGAAGATGTTTTATGATAAGGTATGAAAGCTGTGGACAGCAATACTCATTAGTTTAGCTTCCAATGTCTTTCTTATCTAAAGAGCCCCAAGTATTCTTGCTTTGCAAGCAGGATCTCTGGTCTGAAAGCAGCTCACAAACTCACCCGCTCCCGCCACCGATTTCTGCAATAAAGGCACAGAAAGTGAAGGGGCTTTAGCAAAAATTCCTTTTCAGCCAGGGAAAGAATAATAGAAGACAGACGGGAAGAGTCCTAGCAACAACTTCCTTATGCAGCGACACACACGTAGATTGTCTTGCGTTATTAACTGGCCAGTCCAAATGGTCACGCTGCAAAAGCTCCCTGGAATACAAACTGTGTATTTTTAATGTGCAATGTTAGATTAAAATGAAAAAAGTAAAAGACCCCTAGTCTGTGGGTCAAGCCCTATTCCCCACGCCCTGAAGCTGCCACGGCCAAGCTGCTGTGGCTGGGGGGGGGGGGGGAGCACCAACCTGCCATGGCCAGGGAAAGGGGCCCCTCTTCACCATCCCCAGCGTCCTCAGGTTAGCCCAAACCACATCCCTGAGCACCTCTTGGAACTCAAAGCCCCCAGACCAGATTTTACACCCCCTTCTGCACACCAAACCCTCAACCTTCAGCCTCATCCTATAGTCTGCACCCCAACCCTCTGTGTCAGCCCCTCAACTCCAGCCCCACACTAGAGCCCTCGCTCCCAGCTGGAGCCCTCACAGTCCTGCACCCCAGCCCTGAGCCCCTCCCACACTCAGAACTCCAGCCCCACTCCCGCACATGCATTTTGGTACGTGCACCAATATGCAGGTGATGTCTCACATGTCCCCTCCACACTGGTGCACATAAGAAAACTCATTCCACTTGGGGTAGGTCAAATCAGAGGGAACCGTGGCCTACGTGTTTACGAAAATATTTGGACCTTGCAGCTTTTCTTAATGGTCTAATTTATTCTTCACTTTGTTTTGTCTTTAGTTTTTGCCCAGAATTGAGCTTGTCAATGAAACTAAACAAGTCAGCTTCCTATTAGCAAAGTGGTGCAGTGATTGGCTTGCACAGTTGAACGAGGCTTTGTTTTCACTGGAATTCTTTTAAAAAACACCATGAGACTGTTCAGTTTTGGGTCTAGGCCAATTGGACAACAGCCGACTAACACAATCATTACACAGGGACTTATTCGAATTCTGCACTCTATACTCTAGCTATCCGCTAGGAACAAGGTAGGTAAGGTAGGGCCTTTTCTGGGACCAGCTGTTGGCGAAAGAGAGAAGCATTTGAGCTACGCAGCCTTTTCAGGGTTAACAACTCTGTGTTCACCAGGGAATTGGTTGAAGGTCTCACCCATTAACAGAATGGGGTGGAAGAAGAATTCTCTGCACCATCAGCATTTTGTCAAGATTCAGCTGGATGACAGAATCCTGAAGGGAGGCCAGTCAGGGAGAATATAACAAGCGATCTTTCCTGGCTGCTGAACACACAGAGCCGGGTCTCCTCTTGGACCATGGTTGTGAATGGGGTCGCCTAGGCACTGGCTGGAAGGTGGCAATTTCCTTCCTCAAGGAGAAAAACTGGTCACATGGGGACGGGCTCACGTGGGAAAGGAAACAGGAATAAAATAGAGAGGGGGGGCACCATGTGACTCTGCACCTGTCCCCCTTGTTTATCCACATGCCTTTACCCGGGGTTCAGCTTGGACTGCCGGCGAACCACGGAATATCTCACGGCGATGGTGCAGGCCTTCTGCAGCGCGGGTATAACTTCCACCCACAACATCTCAACACGGGTCACTATCATGGTCAAGTAGTTAATCTTATCAGACCCTCGTTTCATGTAGGTGCCATCTGGTAGAACCTAGAACGGGAAGTACAGAGTAATAAAGGGCGCCCTGGGAGGCGAGAGCTGTCAGTGGTTATTTTGCACTGGCGCTAGGGAGTCCAGACAATAAGAGAGAAAACACCCGTTTTAAGACGCACGCGCTTTCTTCTGCTGCATGAAATGCATCTGGCCTCGTCCCAATCCGTCTCCCGCAAGTGGTAGGTTGTGACCCCAGGCAGGTCGCTCCAATAACAGAAGAGAGCGCGACAATCCTGCGTGTGCAGAGGATGTGACTTTCCGCACGGCACCAGCTCTCGCACGCCGTACGGGTGGGATCGTGCTGCACGGAGGATGCTATTTTGCTCTACAACATGGCACCCTCCACGCAGCGTATGTGGCGTGTGCGAGATCACGCTGCGGCGAGGGTGCTGTTTAAATGACGTCCTGCCTGGGGCTGCGGGAAGCAGGCTATTGAAAATGGGGTCATGCAGGGAAACTGCTTGAGGGCTGCTGCCTCCACTACGAGCATGTAACGTACAGAGAACATTTCGGCTTCAGGGAAATCCTTTCCTCCTCTGCAGCTCCCACTGATGTCAGCTGTCCCAGGAGAACATTTTGCCCTAAATCCAGACGTTCTAGAACTCGGCCTGCGGGTGTTTGTAATTTAATGCCCCTACCTGAGAGAATCTTCCCAGCATGTTTTCTCTGGGAATAGTGACGCTTTGCAGCATGAGGTAGCCATTGTCAATGTGTTCAAAATTCATTTTGGGACCGATGTCTCCCACAGTAACCCCTAAGGAAAAGGAAAACGAAGCCGGTTTACCTCCACTGGCCCTCCCGTTTTCTTAACACTTCAATAGGGTTGTAAATCTTGCACGCGGTAAAAATCCAGCTCCCCGGACCCTTCCCTGGAAGAACTTTTCCCACCGAGGGAGGGGATAACTGAGCCCCAAGGGGGTGGTTTGTTTGCCATACCCGTCTAGCTACTTGTACGTGCTGCCTGGTGACTTGGACTCAAAGGTTAATAGAGAAAATGGCCGCAGACGCCCAACTAGGGCTCTTGACATTTCGCAGTGGAAAGCAGGTTTAGGCTGGAGCTGCCAGCGGGCTTTGGGGAATTATAGCTACGTGTGGCCACGTTTCACAGCCGTAAGCATCTCGTGACCTGCCCAGAAAGTTCAGGGATAGCTTTACTAGTACTTGGTCCCTCGTTGGGGCAGCTGTCAGGTGGCCACATAAACAAAACTCACAGCCAGGATTGTAGAAAATACTTTGTGAGAGAAGTGCACAAGGCACCTGAAGAATCGCTCCCGGCAGGACCCGGAGTCACTTACCTGGTGCAGGCAGGTGGTCCCGAAGACTGCGGATCTGCACTATGAAGGGATGCAAGCCATAGCACTCTCCTTTAACGTACAACTGGGCAAAAACCACAGCATGGGTTGCCGATCTGCCCACTAGAAGGGAAAAGAGGTGCGATCCGTTACATGCTTGCACAGTTAAATGCCGCGGACACAGGTGTTTGGCATAGCCCAGAGTGGTCGACAGCGAATGGTTTCTTGAGGAAGACGGGATCTAGTGGATTGAGCGGGATCTTGGGAGCAGTTCTCCTCGCACTGCTCATTTTCTATGCTACCCTGTGCAAGTCACTTCCTCCCGGGCCTCACTTTCCCTCGGAAATGAGACCGGCTCGCCTAGGCAAATAGTTACATTGTCCACACAACTTGTAGGCACGTTGCAATACAACTGAAGAGCTAAGTGAGGCATAGTCATTGCACGGGGCTGTGCAGCCGGGTGTGGAATGCTCCAAGCACCCTCGTGCCGAGGGGAACCTGAGACACTGGCTTGAGAGTATGGGTCCTGATCAATGTTCCCTCTAATGCTTTCCATCCATGTGTGGAATACATTTTATGGATGCTGAGGCATGTGCAGACGTGCACCACCGGGAGGAACACATGCTGCTGGCTGTGGGGGGCTCTGCTGATCAGCTGGGCAGGATTTGAATCTCTCCTGTGTGGCCGCCCACTCGCTCAGCTTCCTGGGAATATTGATACTCTGCACTTCTGTAGCTGTCCAGACACGTGTGAATGTGGCCTCACTATGCCCTGCCAGGGGTACTGGGTGTTATCGCAGTATTGCAGGCAAGGAAACAAGCACAGGATGCAAACGCCCTGAGCCCCGGCTCCTTTCTTCTCTCTAACCAGAAAACTATTTATTCCTTCCTGACTGCCTTCCGCCGCGAGCACAAAGCCCCGGCTCTTCCCAGTTTCTATTTTCTCGTGTACGTTGGGACAGCCTGCCACCTGCTGGCCGCAAACCGACTGCAGGCTTCATTCCGATCCGAGAGTGCCCCGGGGGAGATCTGACCTGGAGTGTTGCCGAGGGTAGTGACTGGGCCGCATAAATGACCCTCCTTCGTCTCAGTGGGCCTCAAGACTGTCATATCACAAGAGTCTCCCAGGACTGGGTAGTTGTGTTAATCGCGCTGGCGTTCCTGGGATTTGCAGGGGTGCTGACTGGCCCGCAGCAGCGCCGTTCGCACAGGCAGTGTTGGGTGCAGTCAGCACCCACCTCCCTTCACCTGTCCTGGCTTTATGGGCGGATCACATCAGTAACGCTGTCGGAAAAACCGACGGGAATGGAAGCCAGCGGAAGCCGCCAGCCCTGCACGTGGGCAACAGGAAACTAATGTCTTGCGGCCACACAGAACCCTCGTGGGGCACAGGTGTACTGGAGTGCAGTTCTGAGTTTGGGACTTACGGTCTCCAGGCCACCACTTCATTGCCGAGATCCTTGGCGTATTCAGTGTGAATTCCTGAGTGGACGTGTCAAAAGTCGCTGTTGTCTCCAAACCCCGAAGAAATGTCCCTTCACGAAGATAAATGGACACAATCCCTCAGGGTCATCTGAGGGACAGACCCCACATCCTCACAGCCTCAGCGCTGAAGAGACACACTGGACTTCCGGTAGCTCCTTAGCTCGCTCTCTCCCCTCCCCCTCTAGCCAAGGCCTCTGCCCTGCAGAAGGATTTGCCAGAGGCTGTGCATTCAGTGTGGGCTCTTGCAGCTCTCTCCATAGGATAATTAAAGCTGGGCCCAACCTGTAGGCTCCTGGAGTCTTTTTACACTACAGTTTTCCTCTGAGTTAAGTTTGGCACTTAATTAGCAGTAGCTGCACCTTTTTGGAGTCTAGTATGGACACTCTCCAAATCTTTTGTGATTTACTCTCTGGTTTGGACCCCAGCCTGGTCTGTGCTACCTATCACCAATGTCCTAGGTGCATCTACCCTTGGTGCAACCTGGCAAATCCCTCTCCCAGGAACAGAAAAAAATACAGTCTCCCAACCAACTCCCTGGACCAAGGTGACCCTCTTGGATCCCAGTTTTCTGGCATCGAACTTGCCTGAATTTTCAGAACCAAAAGGCAAGCATCAGCTTCCAGCTTACTTTCTCGGACACTTATTTTCACAGCCGTCTCTAAAGCAAGAGAGGCTTTTCGCCTTCCTTTGGGACTCTCACCCGCACCACGGATGAACAGCTCAACAGCCCTGCCTTTTTTTGGGTGGGAACAGCTGATTGTTTACAACAGGAGATGCCCTTTGGGACAATCTTCAGCCATGTCCTAAGATGAAGCCCATGAGGCTCAGCCAGTTTACACCCACTGAGTATCTGGGCCAGTGTTTTTCTTCCTAAGGAAACGCTACATTTTTGCTGGAGACTTACCATGTCCCAATTCAGTCTGAGCGTAGGTCCCTATGATGTGGTATTTCTCAGCCAGTGGGATCCACTTGGCAATCTGTTCATCTGTTCCCAGTGCCAAGATGCTGTTCTTAAAGACACGATGGACGTTAAATGCTACGTCTCCTCCAAGTGCCCTGGAAGGAAGGTATGGACAGTGTTCAGCATGTGTGCTAGTTCCAGCTGTGCAAATGCGAAAGGCATTGTAACAAATCCTTAGCACATGCCAGTCTGAGTTCCCATTGTTACCAATCTCTTGCACTACTTTTGAGAAACAGCACATCTGCACAAGGTTGTAACCAATCCTTAGCACATGCCATTCTGAGTTTCCATTGTTACCAATCTCTTGCACTGCTTTTGAGAAACAGCACATCTGCACAAGCAGTGCAAAAAAAAAAAAAAATCCTTCAAAGCTGGTTCCATTTTCTCTCTCATAACATATCTTGCTCACAAGTCACGTGTCATAGACTCACAAGGCTCAGGAGTCATCGAGTCCGACCCCCTGCCCAAAGCAGGACCAATCCCAACTAAAACACTCCTCCTTTGTCCTTTAACTAGCAGCGTGGAAAGATGTTGTTAGTAGCACTGAACTGAGCTTCTAAAAACACTATCCAGACCCATAACTCTGTTTTTTATTAACTTTCTTCTCTTTTTACCCTTTCCGCTTCCTTCTATTTAAATCACAAACATACTGGACACCACTGGTTTCAGCTGGAACGGACTGAACCGCATCTGCTGTCGCTTAGGGCTTAGAGAACTTTGAACTTACCTGATGTTTTTAAAAAAAATTCTAGTCTGTTCCCCTGATGACGTGCCAGGCAGCCCCAGTGCCTGGTGCCATCTCAGAACGTTTGGCGATTCCGTAGCCCATAGAAACTTGGATAATCAGGGCTCGACAAACCGCGGCGTGATCTGCTCGCCAGCCAGCGATTTGTCGAGCCCTGTGGATAATCATTTCAGTAGCACCTGGTAACATTTGCTTTTGTGAAGTATTTAATTTAATTTTTATCAAATAGAAAAGGTAAGACATCTTCCTTCAGGAGCTTCTTCTGCACAGAAGCGACAGAGTCCTGTAGCACTTTATAGACTAACAGGGCTACGTCTAGACTGGTATGATTTTCCGCAAATGCTTTTAACGGAAAAGTTTTCCGTTAAAAGCATTTGCAGAAAAGAGCATCTAGATTGGCACGGACGCTTTTCTGCAAAAGCACTTTTTGCAGAAAAGCGTCCGTGCTAATCTAGACGCGCTTTTACGCAAAAAAGCCCCGATTGCCATTTTCGCCATCGGGGCTTTTTGTGCAAAACAAATCTGAGCTGTCTACACTGGCTCTTTTGCGCAAAAGGACTTTTGCCTGAACGGGAGCAGCATGGTATTTCCACAAGAAGCACTGATTTCTTACATGAGATCGTCAGTGTTCTTGCGGAAATTCAAGCGGCCGGTATAAACAGCTGGCAAGTTTTTCCACAAAAGCAGCCGCTTTTGTGGAAGAACTTGCCAGTCTAGACACAGCCACAGATGTATTGGAGCATAAGCTTTTGTGGGCAAAGACCCACTTCGCCAGATGCATGGCAACTTGATATGCATCTGTCGAAGTGGGTCTTTGTCCATTACAGCTTATGCTCCAATACAGTACATCTGTTAGACTATAAAGTGCTACAGGACTCTTTGTCATTTTTTCAGATCCAGACTAACATGGCTACCCCTCAGATACTTCTGCACAGAAGGCAGCTCCCGCTTGGTCACAGGTGGAAATCTTTGCGCAGGGGAGCTGAGGGTTCTGATCAATCGCCTTAGATTATTTACAATCCCTTGCTTTACTGCAGTGCCATCATAGGCACCTCACTTAAAACTATGGGGCACCTGCTCTCTTTAATAAATGATCATTCCTTTCCAGGAATACAGAACCTTGGAAAGCTTCAAAATCACCTGGGTCGGGCAGTGAGGGAGGGGGAAGAAAGGTGCAAGTGAGTGTTTGAAGGAAAACTGCACTGCATAGCGGTGATACACTTAGTAACTCTTGAGCTGTCTAGGGATACACATTAGTAAAAATGATGTTCAGAACAGTTTTTAGAGACACTTGCTGCTGTTTCACTATCAGATACTGGACTCTTAAGAACGGGCTCTGCGATACTGATTCGGTATGAGATGCAGGGTAGGGACTCAGTCCTCTGCATTCGGGCCCTGTTTCAATAACTCACTTATGCACATGCTTACCCTGCACTACATGACTAGTGCCACGGACATCTGTGGAGAAAGGGGGGTGATCAGGGTGCTGACTGGTTTCCTTTTCCCCACTGGTTGGTAACTTTCTGATGTGAGGAAAGCTGCTGTTTATTTTATCACGGCACTCGGAGTCTAAGGCACTGAAAGCCAGGGAAGCAGCTTCCCCGCTTCGTGCATACAATACACAACCCAGAAACATTTTTCTTATTAGAAATGGAACTTATCCAGCAACTCTGTGAAGTCCCTGCCTCCTTCATGAAGTTGAAAGCGGAGCTGTAGTGGCTTTCTGCAAACCACCTTGTCAGCTCAGACTAGGGCCTCTCCCGAGTAGCATTTTCTGCTTTCAGCTCTGGGCATCAGAACCTTTTATCATTGCTTGTCCCAGGCCGTCAGTGCGCTCGGTCGGTGTTTGCTTCCCACTCTCACGCTTTCACTCAGCATTCTGAACGGGTTTCTGCGTGTCCTTGTGGATTGCTTAAAAAGATCACGAGTTGCAAACCTGCAGTGCCTGACTTCTGCACAGGCTAACTAAGCTAGAGCTTAGTGCCTCAGATAATGAGGGGGCTTCTCATTACAACAAATATTACTAGGGATATTAAGTAGCAGCTAATTGAGTAGTGGATGGAATTTGTAGACTACTTGATTAGTCGATAAGAGAGGGCGCTCACAGTGTAAACAATAATAGGAACCGGACACGCAGGTAGCCTGGCTCTTACTACATTTAAACTGCAGAGCAACAGCAGGGTTAGCTTCCGGGACAGCCTGAGCCACGACTAAACAGTCTCAGCTTGTGTCCGCTCCAGGACAACTGCGGCTCTGCCCCCCTGCGGAGACGGTGCTGGGGGGAACCAGCTTTTAATCTCTGGCTCCTACTTCCCCCCTTTGCATGCAAAGGCAGCAAGAGGGGTGGGAAGGGAGTAGTCGAGTGTGGTGAGCAAGACAGGAGGAGTTGTTCTTCCGCTCTGCTCTGTGCTGGTTAGGCGTAAGTCGGAGTACTGTGTCCAGTTCTGGGTGCCACATTTCAAGAAAGATGGAGAAATTGGAGAAGGTCCAGAGAAGAGCAACAAGAATGATTAAAGGTCTAGAAAATATGAGCTATGAAGGAAGATTGAAAGAATTGGACCTCTTTAGTTTGGAAAAGAGCAGACTGAGAGGAGACACGATAGCAGGTTTCAAGTATCCAAAAGGGTGTCACAGGGAGGAGGGAGAAAAATTGTTCTCCTTGGCCTCTGAGGATAGGACAAGAAGCAATGGACTTAAATTGCAGCAAGGGAGGTTTAGGTTGGACCTTAGGAAAAACTTCCTATCAGGGTGGTTCAAAACTAGAATAAGTTGCCCAGGGAGGTTGTAAAATCTCCATCACTGGAGATATTTAAGAGCAGGTTAGACAGACACCTGTGAGGGATGAACTAGACTGTGCTTGGTCCTGCCATGAGGGCAGGGGACTGGACTTGATGACCTCTCGAGATCCCTTCCTGTTCTAGTATTCTGTCATTCTACCCAATAAGCCTAAGTTTACTGGGTAGTCGACTACTCGAGTAGACGCTCACATCTCTAAATATTGCTAGTTTTGAGTTGCCTCCTCGCCTATGTACCAGTATAGATGCAAATATAAAGCGTCATTATTTCTACTCTTCTTGCCTTCTCCGTTAGAATAACACATCTGTTTGGTTATGCCTTGGAGCCTCTTAACCTTGATATAGCGTAGGGCCATGGCATGTCTTAATCCAGCCCGGGGTGAGTCCCTCCAGGCAGCTCTCCTGGGAAGGGTGTGTGGGAAAGGGCAGGGGAGGAAGCAGCTGCAGCATGCTGAGTCGAGTTTATTACTCTGCAGGAGCCGCTGCATGCTGCTTCTCGAGTGTTCCCTTGCAACTTCAGGCTGATGTTTTGCCTCTTCTCCCGGCCCTGTGCTCATGTAAAAAGCTGTAGCCTGAGTGTGTGTGAACC